TTGATATAGATATATACATAAATAAGATAAAAACTTACTTGATCAGTCATTAGTTCTCCTTATATTCTTAAGTCAACTTTACTAGTACAGTATAACTTTTCCCTGAAGTTCGACTATATATATATATATATATATATATATATATATATATATATATATATATATATATATATATATATATATATATATATATATATATATATATATATATGACAAAATATGATATGAATGAAAAGTTCATTATACTTTATAAAAGCTATTCTATTAATTCTTTTTATTATCTTCCATTCAATTATAATGTCTATTCTTTTCATCATAAAGTACATCAAACTATCAACTGATTAGTTAGTTCTATTATTCATTATTACTAAATAAATAGTTTGATATATAATGGTAATAAAAATAGTTCCTATCAGAAATCATTATAAATTTCCCTTAGATTTATTTATAAATAATAATAATAATAATAACAATAGCAACAATAATAATAGTAATGATAGTAGTAATAATAGTAACAATAATAATGGTAATAATAGTAGTAATAATAGTAATAGTAATAATGGTAATAATGGTAATAATAATAGTAATAATAATAATAATAATAGTAATAATAATGAATAAAGTGGTCTAATGTGTTCTATTAGTTAATCAACCAATCTCTTTTCTTAAGGACAATTTTAATTTTTATTACTGTGATTATAAACTGATTTGTTGACTTGGTGAAAGAGATTAAAAGTTTAAATGTTCACTATTTAATGGTTTTTAATATAAAAAAAACAAAAAAAAGAATTCATTAGTTTTATAAACAAAGATGGATAGTGGCTAGTAGTGGAATTAAGGAGTTGCTTTTCATCCTATTTAGGATTCGTCAGCTGGATGTACCTGATTATAAAGTTTGTGACCTAAGGCAATTCTGAGGCAATCCGCACAGGATGCATATATACCAATAAGAGACTGATCAATTACAGTCCTAAATAACAATGGGAAGATACAAGTAAAACAACACAAAGTGAATTTAAAACTTCACCCCATTGCACAAGTAGGTAGCTATCAGGACTTAGTTGTTAAGTGAATAACGTGATGGCGTTTGAAGTGACCGGTACTGAGTTCGAGTACCGGAGTGGACATTAACTCCGAGATTCAGGTACATCCAGATGACGAGACTTATACTGTGATACTCATTAATCTATTACCAATATGCAATATGTAATATCTAAGAGATAACTACTTGTACATATGTTTTAGAGAATAATGCTATTGTCAAATTTTTCATAAACAAACGTTTCAATACGAATCCTATCATTCATGGATGTGTTAAGGATAAACTCCCACTTTAAGCCATATCAATGTACATCTATAAATTTACTTGTTCATATGGGGCAGGTTACATTGACCGCACAATGCGATGATTTTTCAAACGCTTCTTAGAACACTATCCAGCATGGCTTTTAAATGGAGAATTTAAAACAATTACTAGTTCTATACAGGAGCATTTAATCAACTGTGGACGCATTGCTCCAAAGGAATTTTCTTTTAAAGTAATCTATACAGTCAAAGAAATTGGATCTATGGGAAGTCGAAGCAATATTTTATGCATTACTGAGCCATTGGCAATCCACGTATTCAAACCTGAACTTTACGTGCAAAAACGATTCGTCCTATCTCTCATCCTTCATTGGCCTTAATTGCCCTACGTAGTATGTTTCGTTTATTTTACCTTTATTATTGATTTTCCAAATTAATGTTTTGTAATTTTAAACTGTAATCAGTGATTATTGCCCTTTAAATAAGTTTTCTTGAGTGTTATTCAGTTTCAACAATTGATATCATGAGTCAATTGAGGCTAGACCACCATGGTAAACCTGGAAGCACTGGAAGGCTGTTTCGTCCTATTGTGGAACTCCTCAACAGTGCACATTCACGACCCCACCTCACGAGATTCGAACCCAGGACCTATCAGTCGAAATTACTACAATCTCCACAAAACCCCTTCTGATGTTGTTCAGTTATTATTATGACCTTTATGTTTGTCGTTTTTTGTTTTTACATTTGACAATTGGACCCATAAACAATTTTTTCCTTACCCCCTTATTATTGCGTAACCTCATTTAATAATATGAGTCTCGAATCAACTTATGATGCAATCTTTTCTATCCTTCTATAAATATATATTTTCCATATAACTATAAATACGAATATACAGCTTAAGTAAATGATTTCGTCGAAAAGAAACTTTTCTTTGCTGAATTTGTATTTAATGATACAATGGGTTATTTTAATTATCTGAATGTAGATGTCTTAGAAAACACAAAGCGTGATAAATTATCTACCAGCTGAACTGCCATTAATTACAACTACACTGGTTTAAGCAAAGATTGAGAGTGGTTGGCAGTGGAATCGAGGATACCAGTTTCGTCCTATTTGGAACTCGTCAGTTGGATGTACCTGCATCTCAGAGTTGATTTTCACTCTGGGACTCGAACCCAGTACTGTTTGCATTAAACGCCATCGCGTTATTTACCTAGCTACTGAGTCCTGGTAGCCACCTGCTTGTGAAATGGGGCAAAGTTTAAATTCAAGTAAAACAACACCAAGTGAATTTAAACTAAACTGGTTGTTTTGACATTAAAAAACAGTGGGAAATGTTTATTGATCCGTTTTATAGTATCTATGTTAAGAAATTAGACAATGTTTCAGTGAAATTTGACCATAACTCTTCAGATATTTAACACTGTCTTGGCCTGTTTACTAGTCCTAATCAAACTTCACATATCAGAAACTATATTGTAATAAGTATAAGTAACTAAACATTAAAATAGTGTAATATATTAGTGAATTCTTGTACGGTTAAGTGTAATCATCAGTATTCTACATTGTTTAACATTATATTACGTAACTTTTCAAGAGGAAAATCATAACAACAAAGTTGCTCATTTACAGAAAATGTATTTTTAAATAATAAAAATTCGTTCAACCTTCACTGATAATCTTTATAATTTGAGGTTACATTGAACTAGTTTCAGGTATCAGTTATTGTTTTAAGAAAAAACATATTTTTACCATATGAATTAGTTGAAGTTAAACATTAACACCGTTCGATGCCGGCCGTCTCAGTGGTCTAATGATTAAGCTCTGGCGCACAAGACTGATAGGTCCTGGGTTCCAATCACGTGGGACGGGATTGTGAACGTGCACTACTGGGGAGTCTCATACTGGGACGACACAGCTGACTGTCCATTGCTTCCAGGTTTTCTATGGTGGTCTAACTTCCGTTGACTAATAAATTAATACGAATTCTTTTTGATAGTAAATTAACTTATAAAAGAAAGCAAAATACTATTTTGTTTAAAAATTCCTAGAATTCGATTATGTAGACAATTTATGAAGGACTCTAGTCAATTTGACGGTAATACTCATTGATAAATCAATACCATTCATTTAATGAATTCAATAGAAAACAGTATTCACTTAGGTTTAACGATCAAAAAATCTCACTTTAAAATCTTACACAGTTTATTAATCACCATGGTACCACTAGTTAATAAAAATGTTCCAAATGGTTTGCAATATGAGAACAGAAATAAAAAGGTGTATTTTTTATCGATTAATAATCGAATATGCGAAATAAATAGTGGAAAATCATTTTTGTTGTTGGTTGATATTCATATTTATATATCAACGAATAGGTTGTGTTTTGTTGCTACTTAGTTTCAAGTTTTCAATTAAATCCTGTTGAATAAGCTAATTGAAAAGAGTAAGAACAAAGATTGCAAACAGAATAGCATGAATTCATTTTTATTTCGTCTAGTTCTCATCAATTACTTACAATTTGTGATAGTTAAAAATCATAATTATACATAATGGATTTCAAATGACTTTCATGAGAGGGTTTGGTTGGAAGTTATCGTGAAAACATATTCTACATTGTTTAACATTATATTACGTAATGTTTCAAGAGGAAAATCATAATAACAAAGTTGCTCATTTACAGAAAATGTATTTTGAAATTGGTTGAAGTTAGACATTAACACCGTTGGATGCCGGCTCAGTGGTCTAGTTGGTTAAGCGCCTGGCCCAAGACTGATAGATCGTGAATTCGAATCTCGTGGGGTGAGATGAGACCGTGGACAGGCACTGTTGAGGAGTCCCATACTAGTACGAAACGGACAGCTGTCCAGTGCTTCCAGGTTTTTCATAGTGGTCTAGTTTCAATTGACTCATGATTTCAACCAGTGAAAACATATTCGTATAATATAGCAAGGGGGTAAATAAATTAAATAGACTGAATATTGTAAATATATACCTTATATAGAAGAACGTTCTATAACATTGATTGTGACAACAGTTCAAACGGCTAGAAACAAGTGATTACAACATAATGAGTAAACATTGATAGGAATATAGTGAGTAGAGCTCATTTGATAAAATAAGATTACAAATTTGGTAGATCATTGGAATAATAATCGATAATGCAATAAATGCAGGAAACAGTTAAAAAGAGTGATTAACGGAACTATGGATATGAACAAGCAAATTCATAGAATTTATGATAGATAACACTTAACAATTAGAAATTCAAAGTGACCTGTAAGAAGTATCATTTTAATTGTGTTTAATATTGTTTAACATTTGTTAATCAAAGTTCCATTCTATTTTATACAAACTTCTTTAAAGATTCTACTGATTCTACATAGGACAGAGTGGATTGGAAAGTGTTAGTCGGCGGCCTATACTCCATTAAGAGTAACAGGCGTAAGTAAGTAAGTAATGACTCTAGCTAATAGAGAGGTTAAACATCACCAATAGATTCATGACTAACTAAACTTACATATTAAACAAACTATGAATGGAACCCTAACTAGGAAAACAGGAACTACTATTAATTCCAAATTCTTTTACAGTCCTCCCAAATCCAACTACATTAACATAAAATACAAAACTTTTTTTCAAAAAGTATATCACTTACAAATAAATTAAGATTCATTCATTCTTTTACTTACCGCTTTACCTCCTCTATTGACCAATGAAGGTCCTATTAGATTATGAGGTTGTGGTCCACTTGTCATTCTTTCTCTTTTTGCAATTCAACTTATTACTGTATAATTGTTAACTGATAACAATGAATAAAGATAATTAAAATGTAAATATTCGATAGACTACTATTATAGATAATAATTTAATTTTTACCACCATATCTCATTGGTTATTTAGTCAACTTATTAATGATTGGCTCATCTTTATTTCTTATTCCGTATGTTTGACAAATTTATAAATACAAAGTTGGGCCGCCATACACCATTGTCTTTAGTGAGTTGATATCTCACAACAAACCTCGTTGAACTTCACTGGTAACGGCTTCTCACTAGAACTCCAGGAGTATCTCTTGAAGTCAGTCACTAGTGAGCAGATGATTCTTATAAGAAGGGGTTTTGTGTAGATTTTAGAAATGCCACTGATTAAAATCATGATTTAATTGAAGCTAGAACACCATGGAAAACCTGGAAGCACTGGACGGCTGTTTCGTCCGATTGCTGGACTCCTCAGCAGCGCTCATCCACGATCTCGCCCAGGTCCTACCAGTCACGCACACGAGCGCCTAGGCATTATACCACTGAGGCGGCATCGTGGATGCACACTGCTGAGGAGTCCCATCCTGGGACGACACAGCTGGCCGTCGAGTGCTTCCAGGTTTTCCATGGTGGTCTAGCTTCAATTGACTGATGATTTCAATCAGTGAAATTTCTAAAATCTCCACAAAACCCCTTCTGAATATTTATAAATAGTTGAATTCATGAGTCGATTAAAGTTACATCAAGTTGGAAAACCTAAAAGTACTGGATAGCCGTTTCGTTCTGGTATGGGACTTCATAACAGTTAGCATTCATGATCTCGCTCGTAGAATTCAAACCCAGGTAGTGACTCACTGAAGACAGTGGTAGATGGTGTTGCAATTTAGTGGATTGGTTGGAGTTAGACATTAACACCGTTGGATGCCGACTGGCTCAACGGTCTGGAGGTTAGGCGTTCGTGTGTGAGACCGATAGGTCCTGGGTTTGAATCCCGTGAGCGGCATCGTTGATGCACACAGCTGAGGAGTAGCACAGTAGGACGAAACGGTCCTCTAGTGCTTCCATATCTTCTATGATAGTCTAGCTTCAACCAACCCATGATTTCAACTATTAAAAACTTACGATAATATCCACATAACCCCCTTTCTGAATATTTACAAATAATCTTTTTTTAAATAAATAAGTGTTCATAGGTGAATCATATGATCTGCCCACTAATTAGTCTAAAGTAAAATGTTGTTGTCTAGTTACACTAGTTTCGAATTACCCATCATACAACTGTAAATAGTGAAGAATGCGCAAAAACTTTCATTTCATAACCTGTATGTTATACTCATACATATTCAGTGAGCTAATAGTTGTATAGATGAGTCGTTACATATTAAGAAAGCTTGTAATAATCATTTATCTGGTGTACTCAGTAGCTAAGTGGATAATGCGATGACGTTTTGAACGGACGATACCGGGTTCGAGTCTTTGAGTGAATACCAACTCTCGGATGCAGGTACATCGAGCTGACAAGTTTCAAATAGGACGAAACGCATGTGCTGGATTTTAATGGTGTGCACTAACACCAAACAATTAGAACCTTGAAGAGATTTAAGTATAAGTCTTGGGTTTTTAAGTATAGTATACACCTAAAATTATTTGTATGTCATTATATTAAGAGGTAAAACACCTGAATCATTAATCTCACAACTAGACCTTCATGAAAAGAAACTAAAAATCGAAGTTAATTATCTAATATCACATGTCTGGTTTTCATTTTCTCTTGATGACTAGCTGATATGCCTAAATGCTATTACGAGTTCACCTTACTCGGTGAATGGAACGAAGGTCAAAGATACAGTGACACGATAGACTATTCTAATCCATTGTCCCTGGCCCTGCTAACCAAATCAAGAAGTCTTGATGAGGCGTAGAGAATGTATTCTACAAGCATCCAGAATATACGAGATCACTAAGCACACAAATCAAGCTTATTTATACAATGATAGAAACGCCCTTGGAAGAGCCATAAAATAGCGTACTAAAAAAATCCGTCAACCAATGACAGTCAAGGATTTCCGAATGGGAAATGTAAGCTGCAGGTCAACTAAGCGCGAAAATATAAACTTCAAATTTTCAGAATAAAATTACAGAATTAGGATCTTTTCCAAGTGAGTTCTAGAGATTTAACATCCTCAACACTAGCACATATTCTGATCTTTTGTTTAAATCTAGATCAACTCTCTCCAACTCAAATTATTTTAAAGATTTTTAAAGGAAGTTCAACTATAATCTTTGTAAACTGACCTTACACTAAATTTTATATAAATCTCAAATGGCTAACCTTAAACATGAAAAGTAATTTTGAATACAATAACAAGTGACCTTACTTTAATTATCTTAATAATTCTGTCTCAATGAAATCATATCATCTTTCAATAGTTTCGATGTAAGCTTACTCTCTGAAACTCTCATCATATTGACCCTGTTATTTCAATAGCCAAGCTTTTTCTATGTATCTTAGTATAAATCAAAGTTTACTTATTTATTCTTCAATAAAATCAATTCACACTTTGTACTATTGTGTACTTTCTTTTCCTTTTGGTCTGTAGAAAAAGAAAAAGAGACTATGTTGTTTTTCACGTGCCTCTAACTAAAAGTTTTCGTAACGGTTGACACTTTAAATCTTTGAAAAAAACTTTTCAGGAAGAATTGTTTGGTGAAACATAAGCTATCTAATCCATCGATGATTTCATTGTTATTTATAGGCTTATTGATTAAGGAATAAGGAAGAATTTCACGAAAATGATTCGTTTTACCTAATACATATATTTACGCCTGCTACAACTCGTGGAGGAGCATAGGCCGCCTACAAGCATTTCCAATCAACTCTATCCTGGACATTCCTTTCCAGTTCTTCCCAGTGGTTATTCACCCTGTAGTGACCTACCTTTATCAAGAGAACGTGATTGGTGTAATGGAAACAATTACTATTATAACCAATCGTACCACGGATTGTTTAACCGTACTTGTTTGTTTAACTGTACCAGAATACATACTTTCTTCCGTTGATTGTGACCTTGCACGAATTTGGTTATGCTCAGTAACCACACTTGTAACCTGGCACGATCTCGGTATTCTTTCAATACCATGAGATTGCCAGCAAATACATCTCGGCTACAGCCATCAACTGCCTTCTGATATTTTGCTTACGGGGGATATTATCGGTCAACTGGCACATAGTCTTCCTGTAGTGGTGATCATAGTCAACCGCGACTCGACGCCATACTACAATCCTTTTGATGTATGCTTTCAATTTCTGATGCAGTGTATTCTTTGGTCTTTCTCTTTTCCGTTTCTCTTCAAGATCCCAAGTAAGCGCTTGCCTTGTGACATATATATATACATAACGTGTGAGCATGTGTTTGAAGAAAAGATTGGTAAGGCAAAATCAAACCAAATCAATGACTGGCAATTACTGTTATGAAAATGTCTTTTAATAAACAGCATTTGAAATGTTCCTTATATTCCATATTTATATCCAAGATCCTCTTAATATTTCAAATAAGCAATAATGAATCTAGTAATCATTCAATAGAATAAAGACAATGAAGGAAAACTTTCGTTCAGACATTATGATTTACTAATGATGTTCATTTATTTTTCTTTAATCCCTCCCCTCCCTTTCCTTTTCTTAAATATTACGCTTCACTGTCCAGTTATCTTGTTACGTAATCTTGTCATTTCTATGAATGTTAAGAATGTTTCAGTGTCTATATTTTTCTAATCATTGACCATTACGAAACACTGATTCAAGCCTTTATTACTCTTATCACAACTAGTACACTTGTCATTACACAAACAAGTTGTACTTTTCACTTATTTGTGTAATCTATTCCTCTGTTATCATCATCGACTTATAAACTACCTTGATCGGTTTCATAATTTCGTATATACATATAAATATTACTGTATATTAGAGTAAAGCCTGATGAGTATCTAATCGAAAACAGTAGTATTCGTTTATATATGTTGTTCTAAATAAACATTGTGTTCATAATAACAGTATACCTTGTTTTCGTTGAGTGTTTATTGTAGTGATTTCAACACTTATTGGATGTTTGATAGATTATAAAAGACAAATGGTATGAGTGATTTTTATAAACCATAAAATATTCATTGTAAGAACATGAATTATATTTGAAAGTATCAGCCAGTACAACCCATCATTAAGAATAGATTCCATAAAAAGTTTAAATTATACGAGAATATTCACAGTTAATGAGATAAGCCTCGTTTATTTAGTTCTTCATCTTAACACGCAGAAACACATAAAGGTTATTTAACTGAAGGATAACTATAATCCAGAGAGTATTCAGGATCTATTTGGTCTTCATGTGAGATACTTCAGCAATGTGTACTCAAAAAAATTCTCCGGATATGAAACCCAGAAGATTACGATCTCACAGCTTGGTCGTTATCTTTAAGAAATCTAGTGGATGATATCTCCAAGGTGAGCTAATTTGTTATACTGTTCATTGTCAGCTGGTAACACCAGTGCACAACTTTCAACTTGCTTAAATCCTATCAATCATGTTATCTTACTAAAAATTCAATAAATCATCTTAAACTCAGTGACTGTACGATTAACGTTCAGTTATAAGATTTGTAAAAACAAAATAACGTCAGTTGGATTTAACCCCTAGTTTCCAATGATTTTCCACTTCATATCATTACTGAAAGGAAACAAATTTCAGTAACAATTAGTCTCTAAAAGTATCTGAAGTAAAGGTTGTTTAGTTTAAAATTAAAATTCTTACAACAGCATAGTAAAATAATAGATTATACTCTAGTCCTGACATATAACCTAGGAAATTGGGGATTGTTGTGACTTTAAGCCCAGCTAATTGTCACGTGATTTATTCGCCAATCAAAATACAACTTATAAAATCTTAGTGCTACGCTAAAGCAATTACCTTCGACCGGTATGAGCAGCCTAGCAATCCTTATTTGTCCTTTGTTCTCTTTGCCTTTCCGGTTGAGTTCAAAACGCCAATAACAACTTCCACTGTACGAATCATTTATTTTAAACAT